ATTTTTTTCTTTGTGGTTCGCGAGGAACGAGGAGAAGAAAGTGTGCCTCAGCCTGGGGACATCGGTTGCCGGTTAGCTACTCGGAAAGAGAGATGGTTCAGATCTGTGTCCGTACTTGTGGCACATCACAGTCAAGATAAGTCAGCCTCGAATGAGCGTCGAAATCCAATGTGCACCACTGACACAGGTGCCTGTTAGACGGTGGATATGGAACAGTTGTGTCTGCCACACCCCATGATAAAAGTATTTCATTCTCCGTAGATAGGTGTACAAGATGACGCACCGGGAACACTCTAGCCCTGCTGTGGTGAGTGGTAACCACGGGCACAAACAACTGCAAAGTCTGCAAGTAACGTGAACATTCCTTATCAGTATAAGCATCACGATCACATCCCGATCTCATGAAAATGTTGAAGGGAACTATTTGCATAAAAGAATAGCAACCGTTGAAATCATTCAACTGACAGAAGGAACGATGGTACAAATCTATACCTTTTCAAATTGAACCGAATCCGAAGCGAATCCAGTGACTCGAACCAATCGCATTCTACCAGGAACCCAAAAAAGTGATTGATTATTCTGCCGTCAGCTGTCACCGATTGGACCGTGTCTGTCGAAACCCGTTCGGTCTGAATGAATCGATTTCTCCATTGACAAACAAAAGTACTTTTTGAGTGAGTTACCAAGCAAGGATGAAAGTTTCAGTGCGGTGGAGTGGGGTACGACTGTTCTTCCTACCATCCCTCAGCCCCAATCGGGTACGCCATGTCCTTGACCGTTGATCATATGAACTTTAGAAGGGAATGAACAAACCCGGTGGTAATTGTTCTCGGTCGATCGAGTAAGGAAGCGAATCAGGTCAAAATGCTCAGGCGTGAATGTTGGCAAGACTCATTACATGATTGGGTTCAGTATAGGCCATCAGTAGCCTGGTGAGTAATTTCGATTGAGACAGAGGTCCTATCGAATAACACTGATTCCTTTGAACCAAATGCAGTTGCCTACATATTTCTGGCATTGAAAGGCATGTTTGACAAGATACTTATCAATCTTACAAGGATGAAATGAAAGAATTAACAGTATTTCACCTGAATAGCAAGATTAAAGTTGAACTCATTCACCAGCTAACATAAATTACATGTTTTCTCTGTAACTCCTGGACCAACTACTGCGTTCTATCTATAATACCAATAGCATCAACCTGTCACCTACAGCTCCTCTCTTTGCTAATCATCTTCGTTGCATCATTTATTATCCGCGTCGCATCTTTTCACAGTCTGATTACATCTGTGTGATCATTATAGTTCATTTAATAAAACCTTTGATGGTGAGAATAACTCACAGTTATCCATGATTCTACCGGGTGCCTCAAGGGATATTCGGTAGATGTAAGCACAATATTCGACTCACGGTTGTCTTGTTACGTGAACAGCGGTGGAACGAGCCTATGGTACCCAAAGCGTTTTCATGAATTTAGTATCCATAAAATAGGCTGAAAGAGACTGATGGTAACTAAGATAATTCATCAGATGTTAAACTAGACGAGCTCATGGACTGAAAGAGCGAATGAAGAAACTATGATGTATTCCATCAACTAGCTTGAAAATGTATGAACAACTTGTCGGTGTTGAAAGAGAGAGCCCATCGGAAAATCGAGGTGTTAAGTAAGATGGTTTATCACTAAATTGAAGTTTCGAATAGTGGGGTTCTTTGGAACCTGGATTCATACGAGAGTGGTGGTAATTTGATTTGCTTATGTGAGAAATTCCCTCGTATACAGAATCACTGAAATGGAAAATGACATTTCTTGTGAAGATATTTGCTACGCGTGATACCCGCATTAAGCTCGCAAAGATGGGTTATACTATAGCGTATGTAGGTGCAAGATGGGGAAACGGTCTGATCGGCTTACTGATGGTCGTGTGGGTAGCATACTTGCCTTCTGTTTCTGTGGTCCCGGGTTCAATCCTCAGTTGGTTGAGTGGATTCGCATTGCTGCTGAAATCTGATAAGCCTGAAGCAGGCCCAACTTTCCCATAGTTCTCTCTGGCTGATCTAATGAAGGTTATAGACGTTAACATCAGCTGTCATCGCATTAGCCGGTTATTGGCAAGATAGCATCCACGCCAAACAATGGTAATCCCCCCACCCCCACCCGACCGACCGTGAAACGTTATGTCCGTGAAAGTTGATCGGGTGTGTCATAGACGCGAATGAACGAACCCGGCGGTGATAGACCTCTGTCGGTCGGGTAACGAAGAGAATCACATCAAGATGGATCGATAAATCGGTCACCATACTCAAATGTGAATATTGGCATGATCCATCGCATGGATGGATTCAGCCT